AGCCCCATCTGCCCCTCATTTCCCTCTATGGCAAGTGCAGTAACTGCTGCCTTGGCCATTGGACCCACTATTGGTCTCGTCTGCTCAATCCGCCACAGCCTGTCTTCCCAAGTCCCTAACTCACGGAAGGTTCGAAGCCTATCAGATACCCTCATCTGGTTTGTTGGCCAGTTGAAGCCACTTTCCAGGGCACAGGTCCAACGCCCTGGAGCCCTGGGTGCCCAAGCACCCACAAAATTTGCCATGAAGAGGCCGAGCACCCACAACTTTCGGTGCCAGGGCCACGCACGCTGCACGGCACTCATGGTCCTGGGCACCCACGGTTGTGAGGCCAAGTTGGCAGGGTGTGGCCGCTGTTACCTACGGACAGCTTCTAGGAGCCACAGGTGAGAGATGGTTACCAGGTGGGGACCAAAAGGGTGGGCAAACAAACCCTGAAGGAGCACAACATATCTCCCACCAGAGGTACTACTGCTCCCCTAACACCCCAGCATATGGGGTGAAGAAATATCCTGGCGGAAAGGACCGCTCTTAGGCAGAGGCTGTGACCAGCAGCTGAGAGAGACCTTGTGCTCCTACGTCCTTGAAGCACTATTGAACTATGAATCAGAAGCTATTCTAATTTACTTAGCCTCACTGTCTAAGAACACCGTTTAGCTGACGCCGAGAAGGTCAGCGACCGTACCCACTGTCTTGGTACGTGTGGGAGAGCAGGGGTGGGGGTCCTCTTCGCTGCTCTAATTGTGGAAAGAGTGATGATGGAAGAATTCCAGGCTTCTACTCAGATGCCTGAATCATGCCTGTGATGCTCCTTGCTTGCCGAGGGCAGATGAAGCCCCTTGCTAACTGGCTGTTTGCACAAGTTGTGTCAGTGCGTGCAGGAGTAGCAGGAGATCTGAGCAGGAAGCCATTGCAAGGCTGCATCGCTAAGCCAGCAAACCTTTAAGAGATGTCTAGCCTGTTCCAGGACCTCTGCCAGACAGAAGGAAGAGGTGCAAAGCTCACCCACCCCACCTCCTTGGCAGAAATGGCTGGTTGCTCAACACACATTTCTTTTGCATAGAGTTAAGTTAAGTGTTTAATTCGTTCCGGAGGTCCGTACTTAACCTGAAACTGTTCTTAACCTAAGAAATGGATAAGAAGTGATGAAAACGGTGGATCATCAGAGGTGCTGATGGAAGTCCAAAAAGACTGTATAAGTGATAAGCTTTGTAGTACATTTTATAATTTATATGTTAAAATTAATCAAAAATATTATATATATATAGAAACTGTTCTTAACCTGAAGCACCACTTTAGCTAATGGGGCCTCTTGCTGCTGCTGCGCCGCCAGAGCACGATTTCTGTTCTCATCCTGAAGCAAAGTTCTAAACCTGAAGCACTATTTCTGGGTTAACGGAGTCTGTAACCTGAAGCGTATGTAACCTGAGGTACCACTGTATTTCTAACTCACCTTTCTTAGAAAAGTAAGCCAAGATAATTTTCTCAGGTTCCTGGGATCCAGTGCCAAGGGATACAGCACCACCCTTCTTTTTTTATGTAGAACAAGTGTGGTGTGTTCTACAACCAGGGACACCCTCCCTCTCCTGTCAGCCATTAACCTCACTGGGTGACCACGGGACAAATACCAAAACTCTCAGCCTAACCTGCTTCACAGGGCTGTTGTGTGGATAAAATGGGGAGGGGGAAGAGAACCATGCATACCAGCCCGAGCTCCAAACTGTGTGTGTTCAGGACATCCCTGACGGGAATGGGTCCTTGCAGAATTAAGTGGGGAAACCGAGGCATGGGTGCTGCAGAAAGCACATAGCAGCAGATCTGTATATGGAATACAAACTGCTTAACTGCTTCCTAGACTGATGTGCTACTGAGAAGATGAAACTGTTTCCTTCTGTGCGGCACCATGAGACTGGTGTCAACACAAAGATGAACAAGCAGAACAGAAGAGGGTGTCCTCTGACACTTGCACTGTGTGTACCGAGACACTGTTTCTTGCGAAGATAAAAGAACAGAGAAAGCACACGGGTGCAAGGGAGAATAAAGGCCGTTGTCTGCGACATGCTTGTTTCCTTCAAGCCCTTGCTACAAGATGGGATCCGTAGGCAATCGCACCTTCCCGCCCCCAGTATACAACCACGCTGAAGCAATAGCAGTGAGAATGGTTCCCGAATGCGTACTTCCTTCTTCCCTCCTGAATAACTTTGATTTTTGCTTCTTTTCTATTAGGCTGTGAGCCTGTGCTCAGAACGGTCTTATTTTACGATGCTGTATAGCTCTTAGAAATGGGACGCGGGTGGCGCTGTGGGTTAAACCACAGAGCCTAGCGATTGCCGATCAGAAGGTCGGCGGTTCAAATCCCCGCGATGGGGTGAGCTCCCGTTGCTCGGTCCCTGCTCCTGCCAACCTAGCAGTTCGAAAGCACGTCAAAGTGCAAGTAGATAAATAGGTACTGCTCCGGCGGGAAGGTAAACGCCGTTTCTGTGTGCTGCTCTGGTTCGCCAGAAGCGGCTTAGTCATGCTGGCCACATGACCCGGAAGCTGTATGCCGGCTCCCTCGGCCAATAAAGCGAGATGAGCGCCGCAACCCCAGAGTTGGTCACGACTGGACCTAACGGTCAGGGGTCCCTTCACCTTTTTATAGCTCTTAGAAAATGTGTGTGTCGGGGAGGGGGCAAGCGGTTTTCATAAGTGTTTATTAATAATAGCGATCTCATTTTGTTTCGGATGATGCATGAACAGGTCACGATAAGTACCGCCTTACGAAAGAATTCCTTTCTGCGTGAGGTGGGAGGGATCGTTTCCCCCCAGAAGTGAAACCAGGTACTATTTTAGCAAATAGGTGTATCCAGAAGGATGCCTAACTTCTTGTCACCAGTTGCCCTCTGTAAAGGCCTCCACAGGCTGTTTTCTTCCCAGACGCACCTTCCCCTTCCACCTTAGGAGCCCAGCTGTAGGGGGTGGTAGTTAGTATCCCTTCTTGCCTCCTGATTCTCCTCTTCAAATGCTTCCCTTCCTCAGATCTTAGATTAGTGATATGAAGGAAATGAGGTCGGAGGGGTTCCCCCCCCATAAGGTCTAGTTCTGCCCTAAGATGGTACCCACCACCCATAGTTCCTGTCCATTCTTGTATTGAAAATAATTAACAAATGCCCTTTGAAAGAGTCACCTTTTAATTGCTCCAAAGCAAGTTAATTGGATAAATGTTGTAGCCCTACTTATTACAGGTTTTGGCTTTTTATTAGGCTCAGCCACCGGAGGAGTCGGGAGAATTCCCGTTTCAGCAAAATAAAGACTTCTTGGCTATGTCTGACACCATATTTTCCCCCTATTATATATTGAGTAAGTTGACAGGAAAGTGGCCAGGAAATCGCAGCAGCAGCAGCAGCAGCAGCAGCAGCAGCAGCAGCAGAAATGCATATTTGAAATGTGGCATTTGAACCACATCTTGCAAAGACCTCCCCTCATCCTCCAAGATCTTCTAAAAGGTGTTTGAGTTTAAATTTGTATGTTTTGGTGTAAATTTTCAGACACTGGAAAAATGCATTTCTTCATCTGTTTCCTGTTTGCTTCACCCAATTTTAAGGGCAGCCCAACTTTGTGACAGCAAGGGGAGTCTTTGAACAGAGCGCCCTTGGGCTTTAGGGTGGCTGAGTCAGGATCGGCAGAGCTCTCTGTACCTCTGCCTCACCCCTATCCTTTATCTACCGTATTTTTTTGCTCTATAAGACTCACTTTTTCCCTCCTAAAAAGTAAGGGGAAATGTGTGTGCGTCTTATGGAGCGAATGCAGGCTGCGCAGCTATCCCAGAAGCCAGAACAGCAAGAGGGATTGCTGCTTTCACTGCGCAGCAATCCCTCTTGCTGTTCTGGCTTCTGAGATTCAGAACATTTTTTTTCTTGTTTTCCTCCTCCAAAAACTAGGTGTGTCTGTGGTCTGGTGCATCTTATAGAGTGAAAAATACGGTATTTGCCACCCGTGGTTAGCTCAGTCCCCAAGCAGTCTGTTTATGAAGGGCTAAGCAACTTGAAAGAGCAACCCCTCTTTCCAAACTTTGTGAGCTGGTGGCCCCTGTAACTTCTTCAACCACCACCAACAGCACCGCCCCCCCCCCGTGGGAAATTCAAAGAGAGCCACCAGCTATTTATCCTATGGGTAGGTTAGCCCTGCAGGACACAGAAACTCAGGTCATTGGGAAGTTTTGGCAGACACAGTATGTGCAATTTCAAAGGAGTCTTCCCCAATACAAGGCCTGCATTTTATTTAGAGGTGGGGAGCCCTAAAGAAGCCAGAGGTTTTTAGGGTTCTTAGCCACATACTAGATTCCATGAAGGCAGTGGCATAGCATGGGTTGCTGGTTCCTGGAGTGGGGCAAGTGTTGCACCCCCTTGTGGACTGGGCAGCAGGGATGGAGGCATGCACCGGTTGCGGGGGGACTTCCCACCTCAGGTGCTTTCCTGCCTTCCTCTCGGCCAGGCCAGGTGGCACGTAGGTGGCGGTGGCGAGGTGTGGGGCTGAGGGGCATGCTGGCAGGCATCTGAACCAGGAGAGCTCAGGGCTGCCCTCGCGTGTCCTGCTGTTGCCTTCCAGCCATGGCTCCCCGCTGCTGGCGAGCCCAGCACCAGGAGCACTGAGAAATTCTGGGCCCGGGGCCACCCTCTCCCATGCTATGCCACTGCATGGAGGATTCTGCTCACTTTGATAACTACCAGTGTGCATCTTCTGGGATTCAGTGTGGAGAGTAGAGATCCTCTTCTGTTCCCAAGCACAGCAATCTCATAGCCATGTCGCAGAATAAATGTCCTGGCTTCAGAAAGCCTCTATTTGAAAACGTTGCTGGCCAGGACAATGGTGCCATTTTTTCCTATTCAAATGGCCTCTCTTGGATTGAGGAGTAGGGAAGCCCCTATTGGCCTGGGCAATTGTCCCAGAAATAATGCCATGCAAACAGATACCACAGCCTCTCCTTGCCCTGTGCAAGAATAGCTCTTAACGGGATTTACCTTGAGCAGTTCCCGGGGGAAGTCACTGCCTTCGTTGAGTCCTTCCAGGTTCCCAATGAAATCCGAGCAGGACATCCGCTTCCCAATGTTCTGTTGAGGAGGAAAGGGGGAAGGAGTAAAGAGTGACAGAGTCATGAGAAACAGAAGCCATGAAGTCAGATTTGTTAGGTTAAGAGTTTGATGTCAGAAGATATGGTGATAAGTGCCGGGTTGTATAGCATTATAAAATAAAAATGCTTAGGCAATGTCATGGAGGATAGGTGTCCAATGATGGCTTTTAGCCATGGTTGCTTAACACAATCTACATATCTAAGGTGGCAGCTGCTTGGTGCAGTGTGGGGAGCTGAGGCACAGTGTTGGAAGACATTGCTGTATGGAATGACGGGAGTATTCTGTCCCATTGCCAGAGGTGATTCAACTGTCATTCTGTGGTCACCTTCTTTATGTGAAATTTGGCTTGGGTGTTTAGGGATCTTGTCCTTTATCCAGGGACAGAGCGTGGGAAGGGCCAGGGGGCCGTAGCCCCAGGCGCACAATTTTGAGGGTGCGTAAACAAAGTGCCCGCATGCAGGCTCCCCGCCCCGCCCTGCTTGCTGTCAAGGGTCTCTAGGCGGACCTGAACCCTGGCCTGGCCGCCACATCCTTGACCCCCTTGCTGAATGGCCGCCTGGCCAGCATTGGGGGGGATCCTCCTGGCAAGAGCCGCATCGGCTGGGCGCCCTCCTGTGTAGGTGGGTGGGTGGGCACAGCAGTGCGGCCCCATGAACCCTCTGTGCAGGGCTGTCTTAAGCATATGCGGTGCCGGGGTGCAAAGATCCCCCCGGCGCCCCCCCCAGTTGCCCAGTTCTAGGCACGCAGGCGGGCAGAGCTGGCCGGCTGCCTCAGCGTCTCGCTGGCTCAGTTGCCCCAAACTCACACCGCAGAGCCGCCTGCAGCAGAAGAGCCCGCCGCGGTGCTGTGACCGATGGGCAGGCTCTTTCCAGGACTCAACTCTCGGGCCCCGGACTCTCGGCTTGGCACCCCTTAGAGCCCGGCGCCCTGGTGCTCCGAACCCTTAGTGCCTATGGGTAAGATGGCCCTGCCTCTGTGCCCTGCACCTGGCTGGCAGCATCGGTGGCAAGGGCTGGGCTGGTGTGGTGGGTTTTGTTCACCCCTGGGCCTGCCCAGCACACATGCCCCGGGCACTGGCAAACGACGCAACGCCACTGCCTTCACCTCTGGCTGCAAAATATACTGAGCTGGTTCTGGCTTGGAAGCATTTGGAGACCTTTCTAAGTCTTAGAACAACCATCTCTTATTCTGGGATGCTGCAAGTATGTATGCATGTATGTATATATACATACATCAGCCAATCTTTTCCTCTTGCCTTCCTTTGTGTTGGTCATCTTTTGCCACCCAGTCTTTTCAGTCTCTCACCTCTTTCTCCACCCCCCACCATGCTTACTTAATTTTGTCCCCATCCCTGTTTACACCCCCCTTCTCTTAAATCACCCCTTCTATTTTGCCGCACGTACATGGAGCATCGTGCCATATTCTGGAAGGTGGCTCATTGCGAGCCAAGCTCTCCTCTGCACCCCCTTCCAGATTCAGAATCAGGATGTATTTCCGCAAATGTCATTATTCTGCTTCTGAGCTAGGTCAGCTCCTGGCATTTTAAAATCCCCCATGTTCCTTTGATTTGCCATGGGGAAATTGCCACTGTGTTCTGGGCAGCAGGGAGTTCTAAAGGAAGGTTGTAGGAAGCAGAACAGGCAGATTTGGCACACAGGGGAGCTTCCAGACAATTGCACAATCTGGCTGCGACAATACACCATAGCTCATTTAGCTTGGTAGAAAGCCTTCCCAGCTCAGCAAAGGACATTTTCCTGCATAGCTGCCTTGACGTATGTCAGTAAAAGGCTTTCAGCATACCAGCTAGAGAGTGGGAGGATAGAAGCACTTACATGGCCGTGGAGGTCTGTGTTTAGGAGCATCAAGGCGCAGGTCAGAGTGTGGGCTCCATCTGTAGCACCAGAGAGAGAGAGAGATCATCAGCCCCCCATCCAGCCACCCTTCAATTTAGCGACCCCTTTTGCAGCTCGGTAACGTTCTCTCTGCCTTGTGTGTTTACATGCTGCGTGAACCATCCCAAAATCTACATGAAATAAAAGAGGCCTGAGAGACCAATACCTCAAGGACTGCTTCTCTCCATATGAGCCTTCCCAGACCCTGAGATTGTCCTCTGTGGACCTTCTTCGTGTGCCTTCTCTACAAGAGGTCCGGAGGGCAGCAACATGGGAACGGGCCTTTTCTGCAGTGACTCCCTGTTTGTGGAATGCTCTCCCCAGAGAAGTTTGCCTGGCGCCTTCATTACATACTTTTAGGTGCCAGGCGAAGACGTTCCTCTTCAACCCGGTCTTTGGCTGATTGACACCCGATGCCCTTTTAGATGTGTTGTGGGCAGGGAATTATTGGTTTGTTTTTGTTCTTATCTCGATTACACATTTTGTGTTTTTTATTTAGTAATTTTATGTTGCGAACCAGCCTGAGATCTAGGGGTAGAGGGTGGTATACAAATTTAACAAATAATAATAATTACAAAATGTAAGTTAAGAAAATAGAGCTTGAGCCCAGTGTTACAGGATTTGGCCATTGGTTTGTGGCTTGATATAGGTAAAACAGCGTTCTTTAATAGAAAAAAATGTCTGAAGTGGGCAAACCTGTTTCTTTGTTGGGTTATTCTTTGGGTGGGGGGTTGTTGCTTTTGCTGTTTGTTGCTGTGTTATGCATTTTTGTGTTTTTATAGTGTAAACTGTCCTGTGATCCTCAGATGAAGGGCAGTACAGAAATTTAATAAATCATCATCATCACTGGTCAAAAGCTTCCCCAATGAGGACCACACCGGAGCTAAAAAAACTCTTTTAACTAGCTCAAAGGGTTGGAATAGCTCAGTCGATAGAGCATGAGACTGTTAATCTCATGGCCCCACGATGAGCAGAATATTCCTGCATTGCAGACTACTAGATTACCCATGCGGTTCCTTCCAACTCTAAGATTCATAGCCACATGAGTGAACATTTGGAAGGAAAGCAACACGAGGTTTTGGCACACCGCAAGTGACTGAAGCAGTTATCTCCTATATCTACATATTGCTCAAGGAGTTTAGAAGGGGGCATTTGATCTTAAGATTTTCATTTAAGATGGGAGAAGTTGCTTTCCTAAGCTCTTCCATAGGCACCTGAGCACCTGCTGTCACTTTCAGAAAGGGGCATGTTTTAAAATATTTATTATGCAATGTTCACCTTGGTTTTAAAATTCAAAAGAGTGTTGTCTTCTTCTCAAGCGCTTTCAGCTTCGTGCACAAGTCAAACACTCAATATTAGCTCTTGGGTGAATCATTTGTGTTTTCTGTGTATTCCTGGTGACAATGTGAGCTTCCATAGCAGCAGCTCATTATGCTGTGATTCAGGCAACCATTCCTTTTGTTAGGCACGTTGCTTGATATTTCATCAATGGGAGCTAATGGATGGGAGGTTGCCCCCCCCCCCCCAGTTGATAATCTCTCTGTGTTTTTGAATGAGCTACCCAGACAGGCTGTAGGCAGCCTAAAAACTCAGTGCGGGGGAAGTTTTATCCCCAGTGACACAATATGCTTTACCTGTACTCATTAAGGCTGTATTAATTACAATAAAAATGATCATTATTACTGTTACCTGCACAGGCGCTGTAGGGACAGCAGGCCAGGTTGGAGTGGCCAGAGCATCCTTCAACTGCCTTTCCCTCTATTCTTCACCTCTTCCTTTTCATCCTTCTATCCAGCCCAACCTACTCCCTCCCTCCTTCTCACAACCCTTCTGATCTTTGGAAATTCAGCTTCTTGGCCTTCGCTTCCCTTTTGTGAAACAGCAAGTAGTGACTCAAACAACTCACTCCAACCCCGTGAAGCAGAGGTTTTCAAACTTTTCAAATCTACGGCTCCCTTGACCAACTACCGTATTTTTCGCTCTATAGGACGCACTTTTTCCCCTCCAAAAATTAAGGGGAAATGTGTGTGCGTCCTATGGAGCGAATGCAGGCTCCTTGGCTTCAGCGATAGCAACAAAAAGCCTCTGAAGCGCAGAGGGAGAGCTCCCTCCGCGCTCCAAAGGCTTCGCGTTGCTTTCGCTGAAGCCTGGAGAGCGAGAGGGGTCGGTGCGCACCGACCCCTCTCGCTCTCCAGGCTTCAGGGATAGCCGCCTAAAGCCAGGAGAGCAAGACTCTCCTGGCTTCAGCAGAGAGGGAGAGCTGCGCAGCGCCCCTTCAGCCAAGTGGGAGGAGAAATGGAAGGGGCTCCGTTTCTCCTGCCGCTTCACTGAAGGGGCGCTGAGCAGAGAGGGGGAGATTTTTTTTTCTCTTGTTCTCCCCCTCTAAAACAAGGTGCGTCCTATGGTCTGGGGCGTCCTATAGAGCGATGCCCCGGACCTATAGAGCGAAAAATACGGTACATTCTTTCTGCGACATTCCTGTGGGGCTCAGGAGCCCAGTTAGGGCCCTTGCTTGCAGAGCTGGCAGCCCTTCACCCTTTTTCGAATGCCCTCCCTTGTAGAGTGTTCCCTCAGCCTCCTCTCTTCTTCCCTATCCTTGGGAGTCCTCTGGGCAGCTGCAGCTGCCACCCCTGGTCTCTGAGCCAGCCCCCCCTGCCCCAAAGAGAGGCGCCTCCTCACGCTGCCCCACAAGGGCCTAGGAGGCACTCCCTGGCCAGCCCCAGAGGCGCCATTCACCTGGGGAGCTTGTAGCTGGGGCTGCTGCAACAAACAGCTGTGCAAGCCTTTGGGAGGCAGAGATACAAGAGGGCATCAGAGGAGGGAGGGAAGGAAAGAGGGAATGAGGCCAGTGTTGCCCGCGGCACCCCTGACCATCATTCAAGGCACCCCAGGGTGCCATGGCACGCTGGTTGAAAACTACTGCCACGAAGCATAGAGATGCCTGCTTGTGGCACTGCATGAGACGTCTCTGTGAACAGAACCAACTTTTTGGTCCAAGAACCTCAACCGCCCCTTTCCTCCTAGTTTCACAATTATCTCACCCTCAGAAGAGATGGCCTTGGGGTTGCACTCATAATAACGCTGCGAAAAATGAGCCAGGACTCTCTCCCGCTCCTGAGTCTCACCCATGAGGGCCAGCTCCTTTAGAAAAGATCTGGAAAGGAAACGAAGTGATGGTGACTCCTCAAAGCAATACCCATTGCCCTCTGACATCCTGATGTTTGAGCAGAGCACCGGAAACCTCTCTTCCTTCGGAGGTACGAAGTTTAAAGCGGCATTCACAGTGCTGTTACCATGACCACCTGATCGTCCCATCTCTCCCTTCTTATCAGGCGCTGTCAACACCCAGGGATGATGCAGCACCCTTGTATCATCTTCATTTAATTAAAAAAGGTAAAGGGACCCCTGACCATTAGGTCCAGTCGTGACCAACTCTGGGGTTGCGGCGCTCCTATCGCTTTACTGGCCGAGGGAGCCGGCATACAGCTTCCGGGTCATGTGGCCAGCATGACTAAGCCGCTTCTGGTGAATCATACCAGCGCACGGAAACGCCGTTTACCTTCCCGCCGGAGCGGTACCTATTTATCTACTTGCACTTTGATGTGCTTTCAACTGCTAGGTTGGCAGGAGGGGGAGCAACAGGAGCTCACCCCGTTGTGGGAATTCGAACTGCTGACCTTCTGATCAGCAAGTCCTAGGCTCTGTGGTTTAACCCACAGCGCCACCCACGTCCCGCATTTAATTTACATGCCTCTTAATTGCCAAGGTGGTTCGCCAAGAGGTTGATAAATAGGAAACCAGTTGCAAAGAATAAAAGCACATGCAATTACAATACCATACCACCCAACATTCCTCAGGTGAAAATAGGGACCTTTCTAACCCCCCAACTGGCCCTCCTCGACCCCCCCCATTTTTGTATCTTCCCTCTCAGAACACTTCCACCACCACGACACCAATGGGGCACAGCACACATGTCCTCCGCAGTCCTGAAAAAAACCCCTTAATCCTGATTTTATTTTATTCTTTGGCAGACTGACAAAAAGAAAAAGACACACCAATAAATAAATTTTAGAAAGGGGCAAAATTAGACACGGATGCACAAAGCATTTTTTTTAAAAAAATCAAGACTCCTTGTACTCCATTCCCCCTTTCTTCTTGCTCAGGGTGCCCCTCCCTCTGCATGCCCCTCGAAACTGGTGTGTCGCTCAGGACTGGGCCTCAGCGGCTGCAGTCTCTCATCCTCCTTCACCCACCCTCCAGAAGCTGCCTCAAGCTGCCCAAGAGAGGAGGCTGGTAGTGGCGGCCATGGAGAGGCAACGGGACGTGCCATACAGCTGCCACTACTGTCATCGCCACACAGGACAAGCACTGGCTCACCCTCTTCCCCAAACTCGGCACTGGCAGGGGGAATAGGGACATTCCAGAATCAAATCAGAAGCTTGGACGGCTTTCGTAATTCTGGGACTGTCCCTGGAAAACAGGGGCAATTGGAGGGTATGCAATGCATGGTCAAACTGCTCAATCTGAACATTAAAACAGACATCCGTGGTAAAAATGGACAGTAAGAGAAACCCACTAGCACAGGCAATGGAGTGCTGCCGGCCTGCGGGCTTGGGTGGGTCGGCAAACTAAGGCCCGGGAGCCGCATCCGGCCCAATCGCCTTCTAAATCCGGCCCGCGATGGTCCAGGAATCAGCATGCTTTTACATGAGTGGAATGTGCCCTTTTATTTAAAATGCATCTTTGGGTTATTTGTGGGTCATAGGAATTTGTTCACCCCCCCCAATATAGTCCGGCCCCCCACAAGGTCTGAGGGACAGGGGACCAGCCCCCTGCTGAAAAAGTTTGCTGACTCCTGCTCTAGACTAGGGTTGCCACCTTTGTTCTGGCAAAATATAGGACAGGACAGGACAGGGTGGGGCGGGGCAGTTGGGAGGCGATTCCTCCCCCCCCCCCAAATCCGGTGCTGAAGCAACTTCAAAGCAATCCAGTACAATCTATTGCAGACTAACAGGACAGCGCTTCTGGAATCTGTCACACACACATTAATTTGTAAATCTGTGCTTTGCTAGCCGGAGCTTAAATACATGACTTTTCACTTGCCCTTTCAAGAAAACACATGCATTTGAAGAGGATGCCTATTTTGGTGTGTGTGTGTGGGGGGGGGAGACCTGAAATCCAGGACCAACTGTATCAATACAGGACATAGCATTTTACATTGAAATATGGGACAAGCATGTATTATACAGGACAGGTGGCAACCCTAGCCTAGACGCACTTCAAAAAAGAATAATTTGTACATGCCCTGCCTAAGTCAGGCCCCCTTCTTAATGGAGACCACCCACTACACATTGTGGCCTACCAAGAGAAAGACCCCACCCCACCCTAAAACCCTGTTTTTGCAGTTCGAGGTAGGCTTTAAAAATGGGAGGCTTATCCAATGCTGGTGAGTTACCATGAACTTCTTTGAGGTTTCTACACAATCAAGAAGTGTAGGAATTTTATGAAACTAAGAAAGAAATGGCTGGCTGCATAAAAGGACAGATGAAAGTATGTGAGTGCTGCCGCATTCTTTAAAATGCAAATAAAGGGTAACCCTGAAACCAGTCTCACTGCTGCTCCAGAAGGTTCCTGTCAGGGAACTGCCATCGGAGCCAGAGGGAGAGGGAGGGCTCCAGAGGGATTCCGGAGAGCGTCCCGGGAGGGAGAGAAGCAGCACATCTTCTGGGGAAGGAAATCAGCGTAACACCAGTGGAGAAGGGGGGCAGATGGGGGAATCGGCGAGGTGGCTCCAAGACTCTTCGCCGGGAACCAGTGGGGAGAGCCCGGGTCCTCCGATGCCCACACCCTCCCTGCGCAGAAGGCTTCCGCGCAGGGAGGCTAGGAGGAGACTAAGCGTCAAAGAGCTTCTTTGCTGGAAGAAGTTCAAGAAACGCCCACTAACGGATTCTGCCAGCGATTGAGACAGTCACGGGCGCGTGGCTGTCCAGACAGAAAGGGTTCATTCAGGCAACCAGCCAAGAGTGGCGTTGATTTACACACAAGCAACCCCTAGAACCATTACAGTTCCATTTCCCCTTGAAGTTCTACTAAACTCCCCGCAACCCTCCTTACAGATTTCTGGAGATTTCACCCTTAAAGACTTACCTAAGCGCTTGATCCAGACTCATTCCAGTGAATTCAAAGAACTTGAGGTACTCGCTTGCTACCATCTTACTAAAATCGTTACTGGAAAGGAGAAAGGTGGCGGGTGGGAGATATAGATAGATATATTTTAAAACCTGTATATATAACACAAGAGAGGGACAAACACGGAGGAGATGAGATCTCGGGGAACATCACGGACACTGCAGCAAGGGAAGAGGAAGGCAGAATTCTTGAGGCAGAATACACACCACTAGATCCACAAGAAGCATGCACAGGTCTTTGTCATGCGCCCCTTTATGTGCCTTAATCTCTCGGGAGAGCTTTCATTCTCCCGTGACCATCTGCGTTAGGAGCAGAGGCGCATGTGGCGAGTGCGAATGTTCCTGTCAGGCCTAGAGGAGACAGGCCATCCCTAGGGCATAGCTATGTGGGCCACAGAGAAAACGCCGCCTTCCTAAGAGTGCCTGGTGATGAAGGCAAGCTAGCCAAAGCTTTGCTGTCATTCTGGAGGGAAGGCTGCCTTCTGAGGGTTGTCCTCCTCTACAAGACTTCCCTGTGCTTAGGGTGTTAGCAGGCTGCTGCATTCCCTCGGGGAATTAACAAAGCTCTGGGGGGAGAATCTTTTCTCCTAATACCCACACGTACTTCTTCCCCAGGTGGCGGGCCACGTCTGCCTTTTTGAAGCCATCCAAGTTGTAGAGCCTCTTGGCCAGGCGTTTAGCGGCCTCCAGATCAGCCTTGTGCCCATTGGAGAGGGTGTCTGTGCTGCCCAGGGCGAGTTGCTCTGTGCTGTCCATCTCGGAATCAGAGTCAGAGACCAGCTGGCTGAGAGGATGTTCACTAAAATGAAACAAACACAAACACACACAGAGAGAAGCTGTCACAGAAGCCTTTGTGCTCTTGCCCTTCCCCGAAGGTGCTTCTGAATCAATCTGTGCCTTCCAGATGTTTTGGACCACAACATCTGTCATCCCCAGCTAGTACAGTTTTGCACCTGGAGGGCACCAGGTTGACAAAGGCTACATAGAGAGGAGTTGGGGCATGTGCAAACTGGTTCAAAGTCCATATCAGGATATTGGCTTCATAATTTTTGACCTGGCAATATATCACGAATTGTGATGTGTGTGTGTGTGTGTGCTATGCAAAAATCACAATGTGGGGGAAACCGTGAAGCCAGCCAATGCTTCTCTCGATTCCTGAAGCCCCTGTTAACTCTGCCAGCTCATCTCTTCCCTGCTTCATGCAGGGAGCAGCGAATCAAAAGAGCAGGGGCTGGCAAAAATCACAATGCGGGGAAAACTGTGAAGCCAGCCAATGCCTCTACATAGCTCCATCCTTATTTCAGACATTGTGATATATCAGTATGTTGTGATGTTTAGCTGGTGATATATCGTGATGCTGAAACCCAGATATCACCCAGTCTTAGGCGTGTATGTGTGTGGCGTATGCCGATTGGGACTGTGGAAAATTGTTATGTACTGAGTTGAATAGGATCCAAACTGCAGCAGTCTGATTGGTCCTAGAACAATGCAGCAGTATGATTGGTCGGCAGGAGCCAACCAATCCAGCTCCAGATAGAAGTGAATCCACAACCTGATTGGCCTACAGGAGAAGTCCGGAATTAGCCAACCACGTGCAGCCCATTGTGTAAATAATGTATATAAAGCAGATACTTTGAGGGGACTTCCATTCCTCCTCACCACTATGAGCTGAATAAAGAGCATGAAATCACTTTGCGACTCTGAGTATATTTCAAAAATACTGTTCTGGTTACTATTATTCCAAATAGTAAACCAGAGGCTAGAAGGAGCAGCGTGGGTGACAAAAGTATTTGGTATCCTGAAGTATCTTTCCCCTGCCACTCCCAGTTTTGTGTTCCAGGGCTAAAGACATCACCAAAATGATATCCGGAAGCCAGAAATCAGCAGGCAGCAATTTTGGAGGGCCCCCCCACCATTTAACCATGAAAAGAAGTGGTTCCAGTTGGAAATGTTCCACCTGTTTGTATGAATGAACTGGTTCAAGGAGACAGGAAATGGAAAATCTCCACTGCGTCTGTGGAAGGTGTTGTCATTTTTTCTTTACAACAATCCTGTGAGGGAGGTTCGGCGCCGAAGTTGCAATTGGCTCAAGGTGAACGATGTCAATGTGAATATGACGCCTATGTGTGTGGCGAGATCAAATGCGAGAGAAGCTTCTAGAAGATGTTCCTATCTTCATTGAAGAAATGTTGGGAGGGGATGGAATGAATTGGCTCCGCTTGGGTCTGGGTCTGGCTTCCAGCTACAGTTTGGGCTCCTTTCCTTCTGCCTTACCTGTCACAATGGTCACCAGCCCGCCCCCTCCATTCCCACCTGGCTCCACTATCTCTGGCAGGAAGATGAAGAGAACTATGTAGCCTTTATGGATGTCAAGGCGGCATTTGATAAACTAAATGGAAAACTTGTTGTGGGAAAAGTTATCCAGAACCAATCTGACTACTCTTACCCTAGTTTTAAAATGTATATTCTGCCACTACTCTAGTTGTGTTCAAGAGCAACATCCCCCTACAGAACAATGTGAACCAAGGATACACAATAGCTCCTTTTCAGATTACCTTCTTTATCAATTGCATGATTTATGATTGTCAGTCCTGAAGGCGCTAATCTAATTCTAATCTAAACTCCATCCAAAGCTCATTTTTGGAACTGCGGTTTTGGGGATGTAATGTTCTTTCTGTGCCAATAAAAAGAGCATTAAATGCTATCTTAAGCACCTGTGGGTGTTTAATTATTGGATTAAAATTACAAAGATGACAACTGAGAGCCTCCCTAAAGTGTGTGTGTGTGTGTGGGGGGGAGCGCCTCATTCTGGTCCACCCACATGAACCCAGAAATTCATTCAGATGAGCCAGTGGCATGAACTCCCTTTATGATCCACAGAGCCTGGACTTTAGCTTGTTTATGTAGCAGGATGTCTGTCTGTTAGGAGCAGAAGAAATAGCACTGTGGTACAGAAGCAGTTTTAAGTTTTAACACAAACTGGAGAACTGCTTGGTAGCAGTGGCGTAGCGTGGGGGGTGCAGGGGGGGCTGGCCGCACCGGGCGCAACATCTGGGGTTAGGGCAAATCCACGGGTTAGGGGGCGCAAATTACTTGCCTTGCCCCGGGTGCTGACAACCCACGCTACGCCACTGCTTGGTAGATCTTTTACACTTCTTTATATTTTCAGCTAGGCATAGATGATATAGATATAGATATAGATATAGATATAGATATAGATATAGATATAGATATAGATGATATAGATATAGATATAGATATAGATATATAGATATATAGATATAGATGATATAGATATAGATATGGATACCCCCCCCCCCAGATTTCGAAAGAATATGCAAACTGGCCAAGCCAGTAGAAATCAGAATGGCTTTTGACAAATGATAGTAAAGACACCTCTTGCTGATTATGGGCTGGCAAAACCCATTAATGAAAATGTGTTGATTGCAAGATCAATGCTTCTACGCTAATTCATTCTGTTTCAACCAGTATGATGTTCAGTTGACTCTTCTTCTTATGCTGGTTTAGCCGTTCCATCTTAATTTGCAGTTTGTTTCTATATAGTCTATGGTGAATACAGCATTTTCATTCTAAATGTTGTAAGAGAAATTGCACAGCATCTCCCTAAGCTTCCTTTCTCTGCAGCTCTGCAGCTTGCTCTGACTGGTAGCGCTGAGTTTATTATAGAAATTATTATAGAAATTGCACAGCATCTCCCTAAGCTTCCTTTCTCTGCAGCTCTGCAGCTTGCTCTGACTGGTAGCGCTGAGTTTATTATAGATCCGGAAGCGGTTGGCTCTGCGTGTCAAAATATTTCCTCCCAGCCCTCAGGCCATCGTCCCTGGTTCCGACAAAAGCCAGCCGCAGACACTGCTTCTAAATCATAGGAGAGGAAAGCACTGGCTATGCCTCTTGTTGTGGAGAAAAGTAATTATTGGTAGCTTGCTTAGCACAAGGAGAATTACCACTTTATTAGATTTCAAGCATGAGATTAGTGGGACGGGAAGGGGCCTCTGCACGTGCGCAGGCTGCAGTAAACGTCGCTCTGATCACTGGCAGAGGAGAGATTGTGACTTGAGGGCCGGAGACAAGTGAGGCTGTGGAGGGTCCTCAGAACCTCTGGAACCAACAAGACCACTCTCCTAGGCAGGATCAACCCAGATAGAATCACAGAATTGTAGCTGGAAGGGACCACGAGGATCATCTAGTCCAGCCCCCTAAAGTGCAGGAATCCTTCACCCAACATGGGGCTTGAACCCACAAACGTGAGATCTCATGCTGTACCGACTGAGCTAGGATATCAGAAGTGTGTGTAGTGGGGTGTTAGGGGAAGGGTGGTGGGGGACACTTTCTGGGGTAGTTTGTCCACCTTTAGTCCCCACCCTGCACTCCGCTCTCACCTGTGGCTCCTAGAAGCTGTCAACATGCAACAGCGGCCACACCCTGGGAAATGCCTTTGACTGGCTGGTTAAACCAGGTGAGGGTCTCAGACCCTTGGTGAGTTATGGACTTCCCCTGCATGCGAAGATAGACTCTGGTGGATTGAGTGGATGAGACAAAGAGCAGGTCAAGAAGGTGGCTTCTGCATGTGCTAGAGAGGGAACTGAGGGGGCAGATGGGGCTCGTCCACCTGGGAAATTAGCCCGTCGTGGAGAAGGAAAACTCTGATCCTAAACCTCTGCTGCCTTGCGGGATATCTTTGGGAGAAGAAAAGGCTACACAAATCTGGAGTGGAGTCCCTAAGGTGATTAGATGGTGCCTTGGGAAGGAGGCACGAAGCTCTGGAAGAGTTCCACCTCTTTCCCAAAGTTGGGGAAGCTTTAACTAAGCTTTGGGAAGGAGGTGGGAGAACTCAAGGACCACGCCAGACCCTGTGTGTTGGACCATTGTGATCAGTACTCTCCCCCTTCCCTTATTGGACTTGCCAACAGGAATATTGGTGTGGAGAGATGCAAGTTTCAGGAGGAGCAAAGGGAAAGGCTGCTTCTGCTACTTCCATCTTGCACAGCCCTCCAGGATCCCCCTCTCCACCTCCATCCCCTCCATATCTTTCTCCCACTCCTCTTCCAGTTGCTCTCATTCCGCTGCCATCTCCCAACGGTCCTGCATAGGATTCTGCTGCCAGACCCTCCTTGTTGCTAGGCACCCCCTCCATCCTTCTCCTCGTTGCCATGGCACCCACTGTTAAGGTAGGCAACAAGCAGGAGAGAGCAGTGAGCAGCAGCAGAGAGCCAATTCTGGTAACTAACCCATCTTTATTAATTAACTGGCGCTGTGCCTGCCAATAGGACGGATTGTGACTACTCTCTCCAAGGGAGTCGCTGAGGGGGTCACAAGAAAAAACACAGGGGCTGAATGAGAGGCAAAGTTGCGGCAGGAGCCAAAAGTTCCCCTGACCCCACATCTTGGCTCATCCAGAGCAGGGGCAGGATTTGCTTCCCCACTGAGAACCTTCCCCGACGCAGCTAAATTTCCTTTCCCCTCGTAAGTCATGAGGGAACCGCTGGGGTGTGTGTGTGTGTGTGTGAACAGAACGGGTTGTCTCAGGGTCACAGCGGAGGCGAAGGCAAAACCTGCCTCCCACCTCAGCAGCGATTTACTTCCTGTTGCTGACGGCTGCTGTTCACTTCTGCAGCAGAAAATAAAGCAAGTTGCGGGCAGAACTTCAGAGAAGCGGTGGTGTGCGGGGGAACCATAAATGAAAAGGCTAGCCACAGGGCAGATAGGGCTTCATCTGCACTATGCATTTCATAGAGTCATAGAATTATAGAGTTGGAAGGAAGGACAAGGGTCATCTAG